GCCTGTGTTATGCTGTGCATTGTGTGGCGGACCAAGCTTCTGGCATCTCCTCCTCCAGTGTTTCTATTCATCCTATCATCGAACACTTCGAGAAAGATATCCCTATTGAGTTTATTCGTGGACCATTTGCGAGTAGACCTCCTTCCGGGGTTTCCATTTGGCCTATTGCCTGGCTCGACGGTGAACCAGATGTATTGGTGATCGCTCCCCGTGTAGTCCTCGAGAACTGACCATTCCTTTAGCGTACCAGCTATCTTCTCCGACACTAACGTGATGTCTGGAATAGTGCCTTCGCATCCTGGTCTGCGAAAGGTGGGCGACATCCCCCTGTTAGCGACTACAAGTCCCAATCTGGCCGCCATGTCAAGCACTCGCCTACCTCTGGGATTTGTGGTCATCATGCCCCATTCAATGGCCTTCGAATTGAAGTCGCCTGCTATAATAAAGTTTCACCCATTTGGAGGACGCAATCTTCGATTGCGTCCAGTTTCATCTGGAATTGGCCAATACTGTCGCTCGGTGTAAGATAGCAGCTCATTAAGGTAAAGTTGCGATTTCGAACCCAAACGTGTCCGTCTCCGGCACCACTGGCTGAGAAAGAGAATTTCTCGGCGCATGGCAGCCAGATGGCTGCAGTTCCACTGCAGTCAGCCAAGAAGGTACCGCAACTGATTTCTCCATATTGTTCGCTAATTATGACAACATCCGCGTTCCGCTCATGTATGAGTTGTGATATAAGGGCGTCTGCTGTCCTGCTTCGGTGCATATTTGCTTGCAAAAATCTCATCATCTTTGGGCCTTTACCGATGCACATTTGCCAGATGCAGCAATGTGATCGACGGTTTTGAGGCCAGCGTCAGTACAGACGCAGCACTTCGGAGAGTTTGTGCACTCCTTTAGTTTGTGTCCAGGTGCGCCACATTTGATGCAGAGGTTTGTTCTATCTGGACCCTTGCAATTTCTCTGTACATGTCCTACACCAAGGCACCTGAAGCAACGCTTTGTTTCGGTGCGCGTCCGCTTTTTTGCTCTGATCCATCCAATAATGATCGAGCCTGTCTCGAGAAGCTTATCAGCTGCTACGGTGGGTAATTGCACGTAAGCTCTGACCAGTTCTTTGTTATTTGGTTTGGTGACGGTCACCTTCAACTGATCGCTTCCGCTTGGAAGGAGTCGTTTAACCGCTTCTTCGACTTCCGTCGTTGTAGTAAGCGCATCGAGATCTCTTATCTCTATGGTGGTTTTCGGTATCAGACCAGTTACCTCCGCCGTTTCTTGCAAAGCACTCCTTATTTCATCGCAGAACTCTAAGCTTGCCTTGGTCCCCTTGTCAAGCTCTAATAGCAGAGCTCCCGACATTGTCTTGCGGACTGCTCGAATTTTGACTTTCGAGTCATCCGGCTTGACATTCGAACGGAGGTTCTTTAAAATGTCCGCATAAGTTTGACTTCCCGTCGGTTTTATGAGGACTGCTTCCGTCTTTGGGCCTCTGTCCTTATTGGGCCTGGGTCTCTTTGCTTCTGGCTTAGTTTTCTTTTCAGCTTTCTTTGTACCGACATTTATTTTGTCTGGTCTTTTCGTAGTTATGGGCGTCCCATTTATTTCTCTTTTTTTGGGGGTTTTGAGCTTCTTCCGATTTACGGTTTGCCATTCCTCAGGCTTATCTTGTCTGCTCTTTTTGGCGCTCTCATTTCCTGTGTTTTGCGCAGCAGGACTTGTCGCCATGCGCTTTTGTCTATGCACGTTTGGTGTGTCTACCACATTTGCTTCTCTTCGTGCTTTTTTCGCCACTGCCTTGATCCAGCATCGGCTATAGTAGCCCATGTTTTCGAAGTGCGTTTGCAGTTCGTTTACGCCATCTTTAATATCTAGCGAGACATTTTTTTGCCGCATTATGCCATTTTTTATCTTCATTAAGGCGGCTATACACTTTCCTAGTGTCTGCTCCTCTTCCCTTCTCAGGGTTTGGATGTATTCATCGCTCGGTGAGACGGGAACCTCCTTCATTTGTGATGGCACGTTTGGCGTGCCACTGTCCGATGCGGACTTCCCTGGGCCATCTTGCGATGGCGCTTCCGTTAGATTTTGTGTATTTGTTTTTTCATTTGTCATGATTTTTGGGTCCAAACTCCTAGCCGCTATCGATGTTCGGTTGTATAGTCGCTCGTAACGATCCCCATGGTTATCTATGCGAAGCAGGGAGGCCATGCGAGGGTTGACACAATTCCTTATGGGAGATTGTGTTCAGAGCCAGAATCTGGCGCAGGTCAGGAGTACTCTCAACTGAGCCTATACCACCAACTTAACGGTGACGAAACATCGAACGTACTTGGAGACTTGCCAAGTTTTAAAAGGACGGAGGAAGATGCAGCATTAACCTGAAAGCCATTTCTATGAGATGTCACTCTCATATACTCAGGTAACAGAATACCACATCCGCCAGCCCAAAGTCATCGTTATCGTTGTTTATTTCCAGTATGCCATGGGTGTATGAACCCTGAATTCATAGCTGATGTGCATTGCCTGTTTCGGCATGCGTTTTTTGCCATCATCTTAACATAGTGTTTATGTTGGACGTGAAGGAACTCCATCGTTGGTGCAGCTGCCTTCTCTTAAAACAGTGCACTCGTCCGTGTCCCTCGGTGGTGCACAGCTGCAGTCACTCTCTGCACACTTGGGTGTCCCTCGATGGCTGGATTTTAGTCGCCTCGTACGACAGGCATGCCTTACCACGGGAATATTCTAACCCCTATCCCGCAGGGGGAATAATAATAATAATAATAATAATAATAATAATAATAATGTAATGTAATAATAATAATGTAATAATAATAATAATAATAATTGTAATAAAAATAATAATAATAATAATATAATAATAATATAATAATAATAACAATATAATAATAATAATAATATAATAATTATAATAATATAATAATAATATAATAATAATAATATAACAATAATAACATAATAAAAATAATAACATATTAAAAATAATATAATAATAATAATAAAATAATAATAATAATAATAATAATAATAATAATAATAATAATAATAATAATAATAATAATAATAATAATAATTTTTTTTTTTTTTATTTCGAGGCTGGGGAACAAAAAATGTCTACACACACCCGCAGAAAACGTCTTTCTGTGGGTAGTGCACGGTTCGCGCTAATCGCTGACATGCTAAAAAACTCCCCTTTCCAGGATGAAGTACATGACCCGGAACCACCACTAGGTATTGCTTCAGGTCATGCACATCCTGATTGTAAGATTTAATCTTACGTCGCTGCTGTTGTACCTGCGTCCATGCGCCTCTTTTTTGCACGTAGTACTGCCTCCACGTGCCTCGCCACCACGGTCCAGTTGCTCTCGCTTGCCATTAGTAAAGGTACCACGTTTTCGGGGGTCCACATGCCGCCAATCTGTGCTTCTAGGCTGGTTCTCTCGGTTGACCATTTAATGCACTTGAAGAATGTGTGTTGTGCGTCATCGACTTCTGCGTCGCCGTAAATGCAACTCTGTTCTTCGCGAATGTTCATCCGGTACAGGTACTTGCCGAAGTATCCGTGCCCAGAGAGGAGTTGCGTCAAGTAATAGTTGACCTCGCCGAACTTTCTTGTCGTCCATACCACTAAATCGGGAATGAGTCTTGCAGTCCACCTACCACTAGTTTCGTTGCTCCACCTGTTCTGCCATTCTTGCATTGTGTGTTCTCTGTAGCTTGTGCTCACGCTGTTGTTATCGTTGTTTTGGCGGCTTAAATATGCTCGCCGTCGTTCCATGGCCAATAGGTCGATGGGTATTGCGCTGCTGATCACAAGAACCGCTGCGCTGGAAACAGTTCGGTAAGCTGATGCTACTCTGAGTGCGGCGGTTCTCTGGACCATACTTCCGATCCGTAGAGAAGTACTGCGTTCACTACTGCCATCAGCAATTTTCGTTTACCTTCTGTTGGTCCACCAACGTTTGCCATCAGCTTGCTAAGGGACGCTGAGGCCTTTGAAGCTTTTTCGACAGCATGATTTATCTGAGCCCAATACGACATCCTAGAGTCCAGATGGATGCCCAGATATTTCATTACCTTAGATGTTTTTATGGTCGAGTCCCAGACCTGCATTTCGATTTCTAAGGGTATTTGCCGCTTCGTTAGTAAGATCAATTCAGTCTTCTCAGTTGCAAGTTTTAGGCCACGGTCGTCCATCCAAGCCATCGTGCGTATCATCACCTGTTGCAGTTTGTGTTGTGCCTCGTGCACATTTCGAGCTGTGATGACTGCAGCTACATCATCAGCAAAGCCGACTAGGTGAACGTTGTCTGGCATTTCGATGGAGAATATTTCGTCATAGCTCGCATTCCATAGATCGGGGCCGAGAACGGAGCCCTGTGCTGCACCGGAAGAAATCTTCTTGGTTTTCATGCCGTTCTGTGTGTGGTAGAGAAGCTCTCTATCGCTAAGGTAGCTGCGAGTCATTTGCATTAGGTACATAGGTGTACTAAAGCGCCTTTCTAGGGCGTTGATCACATCAACCCATTGTAGGCTGTTGAACGCGTTACGAATGTCTAGAGCCGCCAGAAGGACTATGCGCTTCGAGTAGGCATTGCCACGTTGTGCAGCCTCTACGGATGCCACCACGTCAGCAATAGCTCCTATGGTGGACTTTCCTGGCCGGAAGCCGTGTTGTCTGTTGGATAGTCCCCCAGCGATCTCGATGGATTCTGCTATGCGCGGTTTTAGCAGTCGCTCCAGCAATTTCCCTGATGTGTCGAGCATACAAAGCGGACGATATGCGTTCGGCATCTCGGGGTTGCCCTTTCCTTTGCTAATCAGAGTTAGTTGCTGTTTTTTCCAAACCTCTGGAAAGATTCCTTCCTTCAGGCAA